CTCTCTTCCCTCCTCTCACATGCTCACTCAATCTCTCGTTCCCCTTCCCTCCCCTCCCTCTCCTCCCCTCTTTCTTTATCTTTCAGCCCCTCCATCTCATTTCTCTCTCTGTCTCCCTCCCTCCACTCCTCCCCCGCCCACAGCTCTTTCTCCTTCCCTCCATACCTCCCTCCCTCTCTTTTCTCTCTCTCACACACACACACACACACACACATGCTTTCAAATACACACCCAGTCTCTTTCCTTTTCTTTCTCACAAACACACAGTCTGTCTCTGTCTGACTACTTTAAAAGCAGTAATTATAAATGACGTGGTTATCAGGGCATCCAGGTCTACTCCCCTCTCCCAACACACACCAACACACACCAACACACACACACACACCTTTATTCCTGCTCTCTATCTCCTCTTCCTTCCTCCATCCACTCTTTTCTTTTCTCTCAGTATTGTGTCAGGAAAGGAAGCAGCTCTTTCTTATGTGGCAGAGTGAAGGCTAGAGTGCTGTCTGAAAAGAAAAACCAGGGGTCAAAGCTTCTCTCTATACATTTTTTCCTACCAGTCAGATGCATGCTGAGAAATAACCTGAAACCAGTGGCATGCAATACTCGCTTCTCCTTTACCACAGAGGGCCAGTTTGGTCGCACCACAATTTCTTCCCCCCTCATAGTTTCACTGTTCCGCTTTTACAGGCGGCAGGGTAAACATGTGCATGTGAGTCTGAAACACTTCCGAACCATACAATTATGTTAGTGAGTCTTATGCATCGGTCTGGAATACGGAATGAGCTCAAAACTCAACTGAATGTCTGTTATGGATATGAGACTGCCTGCCGGCGTATATCATCTTGTTAAGGAAGCCCAGTGTGTCTGGCATTATGAAGTTGGCTACGGCGACAGCCTCTGAGCATACAGCCGAGACGCTTCGCCCCTCATGAATGGGACAGATAGCTCCAGTGATGAGCCGACTTTGGTCAGTCCGGCTGTCCCAGGACCCCACAGGAAGCGCTGAGGACAGTCCACGGAAGTCAGCTTCCTGGCTGAACCTGCATCCCTTGTTGTGTTCTTTATTATTCTAAAGCCTGTCAAGGAAGGAAGCGGGGTGCTAACACAGATCTGCCTTATCTCCTCAATCTAATGTTCTGTGGATTCGGAGCAAAGAGACAAGGCGTAGTCTGAATATGGCTCTCACAGAGTAACCCTTAAAGGCATTATCTTAACACTCGTGAAGTGGGGAAAAGAAGACGCTGCAGCTTCTCGTGTCACTCTGAAACACGGAATCCTAAAAACTAAATTCGATGATAATTTCAATATTGTAGCAACACACAACTTTCTATTTGTTGTAATAAGGAGGTTACCAATATCAGGAGGCGGCAATGGGGAAATGAGGTTATATGAGGAAGCGTCGTATGAGGCGGGTTTTGTAACAACGGAATAATAAAAAGCACACAAAGAGACGGATGCAGTGTTGTTTCTAGTTCGTTTATGACTTATGTTGTATGTTTGTTTGTGTTTTCTTGCAGGAGGAGGAGAGTAGCCGCTTGGTGCGGACCTACCCCAAGATGACTGAGGGCCAAGTGGATGTGGGCACACAGACGGAGCCTGTGGTGGTGCTTTCTCTGGCTCAGGCTGCCGTTCTTGGTCTCATCTCCCAGAATGAAATATTTGGGGCCACCATCGCCCCTAATGGCTTTTACACAGGGGAGCCCAGAGAGTGTCCCCCACCTCCACCTGAGTCAGTGGAGTACGAGTATGCTGACCAGCTGATAGGAGCCAATGGGGACTACCTGGCCGAGCCCGCTGGGGAGCCGGAGCCCCAGCCCCACTGCAGTGAGAGAAGACGGCCCGGGCCCCGTGGGAGGACCAAGAGGCCCAGAAGTGAGGGAGAATTAGAGGGCCACTCACACAAAGTACCCGGTCCACAGCCCCAGGTTAAAGGTGAAAGACTCGAGTCTGATACCCCTCCTTCCTGCATTCACATGAACAGCAGACGTAGCCCCGGCAAGTCAGAGGATCCAGTCGCCCAGCAAGGTTCTCTAAAAGAGGAGCAGGCCTGTGGAAACTGTCCGTCATGTGTTAGAGATACGTCCAGGCCACAAGCAGACGGACAGCCAGAACAGGAACAAGAAGAAAGCTCCGGGAGAGAGAGAGAGAGGAAGGAAGAAGAGTTAGTGGTAGAGGAAGAAGAAGAGGAGGAGGCGCTAAACCTCAAGACCAGCACAGACACTGGCAGCCCTCTGGAGAACCGATATTATGATTCCAATGAAGTGCCGTATGAGTCTGCTGACATGGCGCTGCCAGGAGAGTATGAGGAGAATGGCCAAGCCATGCTGTGGTCAGACCCAGAGGGCCTCGCCAGACGAATGCAGATTGACCGACTGGACATCAACGTGCAGATCGATGAGTCTTACTGCGTAGATGTGGGAGAGGGTCTGAAACGCTGGAAGTGCCGCATGTGTGAGAAGTCATATACATCCAAATATAACCTTGTCACTCACATCCTGGGCCATAATGGAATTAAGCCCCATGAATGTCTACACTGTGGGAAGCTTTTCAAGCAGCCGAGTCACCTCCAGACTCACCTGCTCACCCACCAGGGAACCCGACCTCACAAGTGTACCGTTTGTGAGAAGGCCTTCACGCAAACCAGCCATCTGAAAAGGCACATGCTGCAGCATTCAGACGTCAAGCCGTACAGCTGCCGCTTCTGTGGCCGTGGCTTCGCCTACCCCAGCGAGCTGAGGACCCACGAGAACAAGCACGAGAACGGCCAGTGCCACGTCTGCACCCAGTGTGGTCTCGAGTTCCCGACCTACGCACACCTGAAGCGCCACCTTGCCAGCCATCAGGGCCCCACAACGTACCAGTGCACCGAGTGCCACAAGTCCTTCGCTTATCGCAGCCAGTTGCAGAACCACTTGATGAAGCACCAGAACGTGAGGCCTTATGTCTGCCCCGAGTGCGGCATGGAGTTTGTCCAGATCCACCACCTCCGACAGCACGCTCTCACACACAAGGTACTGGCAGCGCACGCCCTCGCACTTAAGGTACTGAAACCCAATGATGGGCCTTTGTCTACCAGTTTATGTGTTCAAAACAAAACCCAGAGTAGGCTGGTCTCCTGCAACCACACAACATTACTAAACATTTTCCTAAAATAGAAAAGATTCATTATGAACATATAAACAAATTTAAGGAAACTCTGATATATTTTAGCTTCTTTCACAAGGTATGAATCCTCATTGAAAAATAGGAATACATGGCACACTTGCATCAGAGCCTTTTCTCCAAAACCAGTTGCTTTGTAAACATAGCCTTCAAAGGCCTTGAGTTTTTTTGTGCGGCTCAACCCCCACTTGCATGTGTTTTGTGTTGTGTGTCGTTCGCAAAGCTACTTCCCTTTGTGTCTGATGAATCATTCTGGTCTTTCTCTCCATTTCATTACATAGTCTCTTTTATTCTATAGGAAAACATGCCTCTATTCACAGTGCATGCTTTGTTGAATATTTAAAAAAAAAAAAAAAAAAAAAAAAAAAANTTTTTTTTTTTTTTTTTTTTTTTGTGAAAGCTTAATTACAGCAGCTAATCATGCTTGAGACTTACTATTATATCAGCATGCCGTGCAGAGGTGAGACTGATCCGGCAACTGGAAATAACAGAAGGTGTGTGGGCTCGCCGCCTCAGACTCGGGTCTGAGAGGAACGGCCGGCTAAAACACCAACATCAGTCCAATAACTCAAAGTTCAAAACACAGAGCAAAGCCATTCTTCTCTTTCTCTTTCTCTCGCTTTGCTGATCATAAGAAAATCCTCACCTGAACGCTGTAGCTATAACATCCCTATACACAAACCTACACGGCTTCCAGTTTGCCTGACAGTGAGGGGATGTTGAATTATAGCCATCACCCAGCACAGCGTCTCTCACACACAGTCAGAGCAAACTCGGGCTGTATGCAGCCTGTCACTGGGCTGGATGAAGAAACAACACTGACAATATGAGCTCACCAAGGTGTGGGGTTTATATATATATAGAGAGAGAAAGCGAGAGGGAGGCTAACCTACGGCTGATGCACTACTGAGTTTCTCCGGTATATTGTCATTTGCATTTGTCAGGATGTGTACTCGCATTTGTTTTTTAACCAAAAAAAAAGAAAAGAAAGAAAACAGGGAGTTGTCATCAATGAGTCCTCTGCAGTTGTATGATTCATTGAGCTTTTCTCAGGGGTAAAACAGACAGCTGATATCTGAATCTGTTGCACCCACCACCACAACCACCACCGCCGCCACCACCTTTCCTTCCCTTCTCACTCTATCTCTCTCCTTTTTCTCTTGTTGGCTAGAAAGAGAGAGAGAAAAGTTGTAACTTTGACCTACATCACAGGGAGGATGTGACACCGCACTGCATGGTTGTCGTCCTATAGATAAACAACTCTGAACCGGGGCCTCGGTTGGGGGAAATGGACATGCAAGTCGCCGGTAGCCGTACAGTAAGTCGTACGGACACCCGCGTCAGTTGTTTCAGGGGTTGTGGGGAACTGAAAGCATGTTGGTGTTGCATGTGTGTGCGCGCTCGTCCCTGATCTCAGACATCAGACGACACACACAAACACACATTTGAAATCCCAGTTGAGGGTTAGTACACTTGAGAGCAGGGCAATGGCTTACTTCCCTTACTCTCTCTCTGTGTCTCTTTCTCGCTATGCACATAGGAACCTGTAGAAATCTAACAACCGAAAGAGATTTTATTACCACTGTAGCCTCTCTTTTTTTATTATTATTATTATTCTCAACTATTAGTTTTCCCCACACATGCAAATGCTCCCTAAGTAAATGGACAAGCGAGCAGGTTTTTTGCCGTTATGAAGATTCAGGCCTGGAAAGGAGCCAGTGTATTTCTTCCCCAAACTTTTGTTGTCTGTGTCTTTTTCATTTTCCCCATAGGCTAGTTCTGTGTTGTTTTATGTACGTGTCCCTTGTTGTTTCTTCCATGTGGTTTCTTTGTCTTTCAGCCTCTTATCTCTTTGTTTCTTCCCTTGCTCTCCTTCTATTTTCTCTCCCATTCTCTCCCTCGACTTCCTGCTATCTCTCCCCCTCACTCACACCCTCACTCAATCTCTTTCTCTTTCTCTCTCTCCCCTCCTCCTCCTCCTCCTCCTCCCCTCCTCACGCTCACTCTCATTCCCTATCTCTCCCTCCTCCTCCTCCTCCTCCCCCCTCCGCTCCCCTTTCTCTCTATCTTTCTCATTCTCGCAGCACTCCCAGCTGCTGATGATTGATCAAGGTTTTCAAGGTTTGCCCTTTCCTGTTATTTAGTAGGAAATGTTTATGCACAGTCCTCAGTCTTACAGTCACAATTGGCATGTGTCCACGCGGTGTTTCTCGTGTCGCCTGCACCTATACATGCAGATGCACTTTTTTTTTTTTATTATTATTATTATTTTCTCCCCCTCCACCTCCACCACCACCACCACCACCGCCACCCCACTCCACTGTGTTTACTAGTAAAGGTGAGGTAAGCTCCGGTATAAGAGAATACCTGTCTAATTATCAGGATCATCTTTAGTGCCGACTACTTAAGCACACAACCTGTACTTAGCCGGCAGGTACTCTGCTGCCGCACTGTTTCTCAACACAGCCTGAAAAGAAATCTGGAAGTTCAATAGTTAATGTCTTCCCTTGCTGTTTTTCCTTTTCCTCACTCTCTCCGTCTCTCTATCTCCTTTCCTCTCTCCATTCCCTTTGCTCTCACCCCCCCTCCTCCCTCCCTCCTCC